CATTAGCCGTCATCACCCAGTCATACACTGCCCCAAGTGGTACCCCACTTGAGGTTTAAACCCGCGGCCTTTTCGTCGAACGCTCTAAACATTGAGCAGAGGGCTCGTTTTCTTGTCAACTTAGCTCGGAAATATTGACCGTCGTTGATGAACGCTCGCCAATCGCTGACGGAAATTACTCACGAACCCCACCACCAGCCATACGGCAACTAGCAGTTTAAGCAGGTGCACATTGGTGAGTTGAAAGATGAAAAATTATCAACAAGCGAAGTTCTTTGTGAACAGAATAAAGTTTATTGGATAGATTTTCGAGACTGGTTCTCCTGCTGGTTTTTAGACAAATCGGAGATGTACAAAGAATTGTTTTCAATACAAGCGAACATGCGAGTCCTAGGAAGTAATTGAGAAGAAGAGGACTCGTTGCTGATGTCAGGTGAATAAAAATATTGTCGCAGCGATCGAGTCGTCTCGTTCTCCGCAAAAAAAACTGTTTAGCAGTAGCAGTGTCTAATGCAAGGTTCTATGATTGACTAGAGTGTTAGCAAATAAGTGTCAACTGCATCAACCCATCTGGTCAATAGTAGCTGTTTGTGTTTAAATCTGGCCTTGAGAAATTTTCAATTGGCATGTCAATCGGTATGCCTGCTAATGCAGGACTTGTCGGAGTGCATTGTTACCAGAAATTCGCCACCCTTCCTAGTTGGGTTTTCTCCTATACAAATATGTGTCCCCTGTCCGTGTGCGCATGGTAGCCTGGGATAAATGGTATCGTCTCCTCACTGCTAACCGGTGCTCATGTATACGGATGGATAGGATTTCCCGGTTTGGCCACAATAGACTGCATCGCAACTAGTACACGGTATTTTGTGTACGTTTTCTCCTTTAACTGAACTAGCCCGCCTTGTCCCTAGCTGGATGTGTAAAGTAATTGTAGGCTTGTGCGCAATTTGCATCTGGCATTTGCCTAAATGTCCTCTGACAAACTCAGATATATCCTTTGCATATTGACGGTTTCGCCAGTTCGTTGGCATTCGTGCTTTAGTGAAAGCAGCTCTGAGAAAACCATATCTTTGAATAGTTGTTACCGTTTGCATCGAAAAATAGATTCCAGAGGATACAGCATAAAACAAAAATGCATACGTTGAAAAATACTGGCATTTTGGCGCTGTAGATAGGTCGAAAAATGAAAACTCAGGACCTAAGTTAAATATGGCAGGTAAATAAATCCCAGGCCCCTAATTATCCATCAGAGTAATGAATAAAGTGCGCAGAATATACTGTGGAACTCGAAGTTCATGATGTTTGTGACTGAAGGTTTAATTAAAATTAATAAAAGTGTAGCCAAATCACTAACCCTTAACCTATCTATATATATATGACAATGATGTTATACCATACTTCCGCATAGATACTAGCTAAAAGCCCAGACACGTGTTTCGCCGATGTTACTGCTACTGCATGACACAGCAACGAGGGGTTCGGCTTGTCAATATGTCCCCCGACGTTCTCTTTGCTGCTGCATGATACAGCAACCAGGGTTTCGGCTCGTCAGTAAGCCCCCAACGTTGCTACTGCATGATACAGCAACGAGGGGTTCGGCTGGTCAGTATGCGGTTTCTGCGCCGCATGATTCAGCAAGGAGGGGTTCGTCCCCTTAGTGGGTCCCCCAACTTTCTCTATGCGGTTTCTAGTATATGACCTCCAGATAATAATCA